ATTATATCTTTTAGTGGGTTTAAGTCTTTAAATATGTAAACAATAATATATTATATATTATAATATTAAACTAAAAATTTATTACAATATTATTATTATTATTATTATTATTATTATTATTATTATTATCTAAATCACTTAAATAAATCTAAAAATAACTTACATAAATCAATTTATGAAGCCTCATTTTTTGAATGACCTAACACTAAAACTTTTTAAATAATAATTTTTTAAAAAAAGTTGACCTAACTTGGGCAAAGATAACAAGCAACTTATTTTTATCCCAACTTATAGTTAATTGCAATACTAGGGACTAATTCACCTGTGAAGGTGATGCAATTTTTTAATCTGGGTTGATTAATAGGAGTTAAGAGTTAGAGTTAAGTTAGTAATTAAGAATATGATAGAAAAAAAAAAAAAAGAATATGATGAGTTTTTCCTTGGATACCTAAAACAAAAAAGATGCACAGGCAAAAAAGAAACAAATGCGCATACACATTTTCAACTATAACAGAAAAAAAAAAGAAAAAGATGTGTATGTGTTTTTCCTTAAAGAAGCAAATGCGTATGTGCACTTTCAACTATAAATAAAAAAATGCGCATGCGTCTTTCCTTAAAGAAACAAATAAAATATTTTTTTACAAATAAAAAATTATATAAATATCTCTATAATAAAATTATAAGAGAAAAATGTTATATTTATTTGAAAAGAGAAAAAAATCTTAATTCATAAATGAATATGACGAAGAAAAAAATATGATTAGTGCTCCCGTGGATACCTATAACAAAAAAAACTGCTCATGCGCATTCTTGTTAATTAATAAATGAAAAAATGAAGAAAGAAAAAGAGAGAATATGATGAGTACTCCCATGGATACCTATAAAAAAAAACTGTGTATGTGTATTTCTTGTTAATTCATAAATGAACATGATGAAAAATAAAAAAAAGGAATATGATGAGTGCTCCCGATTAGGCATGGTAACGGGGCAAGGCGGGGCGGGTTTTACATTTCTTGTCCTCACCCCCACAAATTTTAACTGCCATCGTCTCCGATATTCGTCGGGAATAAAACCTGGGTTCCCATTCCCGTTCCTGCCCCCGCTCCCGTTCCAGGTTCGAAATTTATCCAAAATGAACCTACAACGAAAATAGAGACAAGAGAAGAGCATGAGAAAACGAAAAGAGACACAAGAAGAGCATGAGAAAACGAAAATGAAAACGAAAACGACAACGAAATTTACCTTATTGGAGACTTTAGAAAATGAGAGCGTAGAGAGTAAAAAAAGGAATGGAGGGAAAGATTAAAGAGAATGAGAATGGAGGGAAATATAAAAGATTTCTGACGATACTTTTAAAATCGATTATTTAATAACCGATTTTGTATACTACATACAAAATCAGTTCTGAAATAACCGATTTTAAAATCGGTCATAAAATAACTGATCTTAAAAGTGTTTATGTTATTTACAAAATTGCCACCGCGTCACTTTTAAGATCGATTACCTTGTAACCGATCTTAAAACTCCGATTTTAAATCCAATTTTTGCACTAGTGATATTATTTTTTCCCACCATTATATCCTTAAAGGACAAAATAGAAAAAAAATTATAAATTTTTTTGATTATCCACTCTATCAATAATAATTACTCTTTTATTTTGTAACTACCTTTACTCTTCAATTTTGTTTAAGATTATTTTATTCTTTTCTAATTATATATTATATATCTCATTTGATTCACATTTTGTAATAACCTCTGTTATTTTTATTTTTTATTATTTTAAATAAAATGCATAGAGGCATAAATTGTTTCTTCCTCATTAGTGATTAATAAGTATGACACTTTCTAGCCTTCATTCATATATTCAATAATATAAAATTATGGGTCTAAAAATACTTCATTAATTAATCAAAACTTTGGGCAAAAGGTACCACATTTGAATTCCAAACTAACAAAACTGAAAACTAAAGTAATTACAAAGAATAACAAATAAAATGAAAACGTTTCCTAAGGAAAGAAACTATAATTCTTAATGCAATAAAACAAGAAAAAAATTCTAACTAGAGCCCCAATGTCATCACATCCTATCAGAGCAAACTCATCAATAATTCAAATTTCTCAAAAATCAAAGTCATTTGCATAGACAAATAAAAACACAACATGAAGGAAAAAAAGGGAGTGAGAATATATCACACTCCAACTATTGCTGTAGAAAATGATTGGGTAGCCATACATACAAAATAATCAATATTAATTATCCCATTAATAACAATATGACAATCAAGTTTATAATCATCTAATTATATTTTATCTCATCACATCAATGTCACTATTCAAACACAAGGGTATACTATATTCATGCAAGAACAAACCTCTCTTAACTACATGCATATGGTGCCAGTAAAATACTTTATCATTGCCTAAAAGCTTAGTAGCCTAAGAGTTCATGTTGGGTCAAGCCATCACAACATTCTACACTAGGAAAAAATACACCAATTGGCACATTGGAATAGTTACGTTGGCCGTTTCACCCCCATGCACACAAAGTGGTGGGATTGGGGTTCCCAAACCTAGCTATCCTTAAGGTCATGAAATCCCCAAAATTTTACTTAAAGAGGACCTTCCCTTACAACATATTTCATATCATACTCATCACACAAAAATAGATTCATGAAAATAATGAATGACATACAAACTCTCATGCATGGTCACATAAATCATATCCACATAGTCTCTCAATTCACAATTCACTTCATTGCTAAGTTATACTTAGACTTATCACATAATCATTTCTCATATTCCACACATCAAGTATTCATATTCACATCACACAATATTCACTTATTTCACGTTACACAAATAACTCACTATCTCATTCAACTAATTCATGTAATTTATCAATCAATGCTAATTTAATTAAATACATAGTTCTACATATATCAGTCGTAGGTATAGAACAAGGCTCAACGTGGGGTGCCCTACGTTCAAAGTGATCAAGGCTACGAGCCATTAGAAGAATCATGCCCGATGTGACTCTTCTCGGACAAAATCATAACAAGGAGCCCCTTGTAGCACCCTCACCTGGCATGACCAAGCTAACACCTAGTGTTCATGATGTTGCGAGCATTTCGAACTTTTATGCCTGACAAGCCCAAGGTGACACCCAACATGATATCGCAAGATTTGCAATTTACTAAAAAAAATAAAAGAAAAGTAAAATAATATAAATTTTTACATAAAAAAAATTTATAATTTTGATTTATATATATATAAATAATTTTTTAATTATATTATTCAGCGGGGCAGGGACGGGGCGGGTATGGAGGCGGAAGCGGGGTGGGTATTAACATTCCCGCCCCGCCCCCGCCCCCGCCCCGATTTTATCAATCGGGGAAAACCTGAACTCGATAAACACGGATTATCCCCATCCAAATCGGGGCGGGTTCGAGCGGGTACCCACGGGGGCGGATTAGATTCTCATGCCTACTCCCATACCTATAACAAAAAATTGTGCAAATGCTTTAATGCGTACTTTCTACTATAACAAAAAAAAAATATGCATGCAACTTTCCCTAAGTCAGCTAATGCGAATGCACACTTCTTAAACAAAATGTGTTTCTAGAAAGAAGCAATAAACTCCTCTCACTCTCGCTCTTGCTCATTCTCACTATCGCATCACGAATTAATCTCTCAATCTTTCTCTCTATGATCTGTCTCTCTCCTTTCTTCATTGCTCTTTCTCGCTCTTGCATTCAGAAAGGTTAATATTTTTTGTTATCTCTTCTTTCCTTTTGAAACCATTATTAGCTATTGAAATCATGAAACCATGAATTGGATCAGAGTATAATGCATCAAAAGAAAATTAAGAAAATGATATTGTTCATCTTTTGCTCCATATATAGTTCGATAGGATAGAGTTGAAGAGAAATAGACTCCATGCGCATAATAAAAGAAAAGGATAGCATGAGAAAGTCATGAGAAATGGTGTATTCTACAAAAAACCAATGAGCATTTTTTGTATGACTGAAGTCTACAAAAACACAAGCTCATTTTTGTATGACAGTCAAACCTACAAACAACGCATGTGCATTTTCAAATGAAATGGTGCACTCTACATGAATACTAATTATTGATAAAGGTTGATGAAGTGAATCTTATGTCATTTGGGTCAGATGCCTACTCAACATGACAAAATGTCATAAAGAATAAAGGTTGTTGAATAGAGGCAGGATACCAAAAAATGTGCATGCGTCTTTCCTTATAAAAACAAATATAATATTTTTTCTAAATGAAGAAATTATATAAATATATCTAAATAAAAATCATAAGAAATACTCATCAAAGTTGTTTATTTCTTTATTTAATAGTTATATATAATGAGATCTATCATATATATATATATATATGATGAGTGCTCACGTGAATACTTAATTATAAAAAAAAAACTGCACCTGCATATTTCTTATTAATTCATAAATATTGAATATGATGAAAAAAAATAAGAATATGAAAAGTTCTCCCATGGATACTTATAACAAAAAAAAAAATTCATGTGTGTTTCTTTATAGTAAATGCGAAAATGTATGTGCACTTTCAACTATAAAAAAAATATAAAAAAAATGCGCACTATGCAATACAAAGTTAGGAGTTGAGTTTTCATATTATTTTTAGATAGGGATCCAAATTGATTGATGTCAATTTCAATAAATAAATTGGTCATTTATTTTATTATTGGATTATTAATTTGAATCTTGTATTTAATGAAGAAATATAATGATACGAGAAAAATTTTTTCAACAAGAAATTAAATCATAATAAAGAGCAACAGCATTTGTTGGTCAACAAGTTCTCCGTAGGATATAAATACTTGTAATAAAAATTTTGAAATATGAAAATAAAGGAGAAGAAAAAATTGTAAAGGTCGCAATTTTATCCTCACAAAAATTGTACTACTAAATAATTTGCAATTTTATTGGGATAGATTTGTGGCTTTGTCTACATATATAGAAGATTTGAAACACTTTATTTAAAAGTTATATTTCAACCTTATTCATTCATAAGTTACACTGTGGGACTTGGACACAAATATCGTAGTTAAGAGGCAATTGCTGATAAAATAAAAAATAAAAAAGCTAAAATTTACAGTTTGAAATGTACTTTCTGTGTCATCTGGAACAATTAGCCGTCTATCTCTTACATGTTGATCATATGTGTCACTGAAGCTTGTGTTCTAGAAAATCCACACCCCTTGTTGGATTAATCTTCTTGAAGCTCATCTATATAACCCAACTGCTCATTGGCTGAATAGAGGAAAGAAAAGAAAAAAAAAAAAAAACACATTCATGAATATGAGCTTTAAAACTCCTCACCTTGCATCCATATATAGTGGTAAAATCCAAGAATTCATATATAAAAGATTAGTTAGAAGATATTGGTACCCCACAATTCTGTTAGGCTCACTCCAGGATCTGATTGAAACCAATAGTCATCTTCCATCTGCAAATAAACACAATGGTGTAACTTTTTTTTTTACCTTCCAGTTTTTGGTTTTAAATTTATCATTCAGAGCTTAAATTATACATACTTCAAAACCCGTGTGAGCAATTTCTTGAATTCCAAATGCTTGTGACCCCTGCAAACTGAAATTCTCAGAAGGATTTTTTTCATCATCTTGGCTTTCTAATAATTCCACACCCATGTTTCTGTAGTGATCTCTATTCCATGATGGATCCATTAATTTCACCCGCTTGACACTATCATCCTCAAACTTGCGATCGTCCTTGCTTTAAGGATAAAAAAGATCAGTTATCAAAAAGACTCCAGACAAAGAAGGCAAAGATGACCTTAAACCAACAAAGCAAATATTTCAATAAAAGCAAACAGAGAGATAACATAGTGAAAAAGAAACTTTTGGCTGCACTATGTACCTCAAGAGATACAAATATATTGGTCCAGTGGCACTTCTAACAATCATTTTGTATTGCCTTTGCCGGAAACCTAATTCCTGCTCATTTGTGTGAGAAGTCAATTAAAAGCTTGTTATACAGAAAAGTTTCAACACCCATATTAGTAGAAAGTAGAAACCCACCTCATCTGGATCAGGGACCTCAATGAAACTAGCTTTTGGAGCCTTGATTGCAATAATTTCTTGATTCTACGAAAATAGTAGACAAAGGTATTGGTATGGATAAACAGACTGTAGCTTCATAAAACTTTAAATATTTGAGGGAAAAAAAGACCTGGAAGCATGGAAGACTAAGAATATCTTCCTTGGTCAAAAAAAGGTACCTAATGATCAAGCAAGCTTACTATCAAGTAAAGAAGCCAAATCGCAACTTAAATATATATAAAAAAAAATATAAAAATCAGAAGTTCATACTTTTGAGAACTTTCTTTTTCCTCCAGGTCTCTCAGAAGCTCCTGCTTTTTCCTGAGAAATCAAAATGATAATTGTTTAAAATATCAAATAGGTCAAAAAAAACATGAAACTTTTCAAACACGATATTAGTAACAAACCTTATACAATCATCAAGTTCGCATTCCTCAGCATATAGACTTTCAACTTCAGCCTGTATTGAGCCAAATTGTCAGAGTTGGACCAAATCACTAGCATACTGTTGTATTGAAAGATGGAGCTAAAATCCTACAACCAACATTCATTTTAAACTAAAAATGATGATCAATTACATCAGTCCAAAGCTCGAGCAGCAGCTTGCTATAGTATCTGCATAGGTATATATGTAAATAAAATATAATCCACGGTAGAAGTGGCGAAACCAATACATTCCTTCCATAATATGCTGTTTATACCCTGTCTATATTTAATAGTACCATAAGTCATAATATCATGCCATTTGCCTCGCCCAAGAAGGGAAATTAAAAGACACAGATACAGTCCTAAGCTCGGGCAGAAGCTTGCTATAGTATCTGCATAGGTATATGTAAATAATATGTAATCCACAGTAGAAGTGGCGAAACCAATACATTCCTTCCATAATATGCTGTTTATACCCTGTCTATATTTAATAGTACCATAAGTCATAATATCATGTCATTTGCCTTGTCCAAGAAGGGAAATTAAAATACACAGACACAGTCCTAAGCTCGGGCAGAAGCTTGCTATAGTATCTGCATGGGTATATGTAAATAAAATGTAATCCAAGGTAGAAGTGGCCAAATCAATACATTCCTTCCACAGTATGTTGTTTATACCAGGTCTATATTTAAATAGTACCATAAGTCATAATATCGTATCATTTGCCTCGTCCAAGAAGGGAAATTAAAAGACAACACACACAAATAGACAAATGCATACATGCACACAAACACTAGCTTCTAGAAGCAAAGTAGGTTTACAATTCAAAGCAAACATGAAAGCAATCTAAAAGCAAAAATTGTAAACATATCTGAACTAATTGAGTCAAGTAAAAAAGATCCAAAACCTTTAGACTGTTAACTTGGTCTCCGAGTTCTCGTGGCCCATGTCCATCACATCCTCTGCTCGTAAGGAATAACATGTACCATCATATCATATATCATGTATATGATAAAAAGCCACACAGTCAAATGAAAGAATAGATATTTACTTCCACTGTATATGATTCTTTGAAGTTTTCTCTATCAATCCTACCCCTTCAAGTACATTTGTAATGTCATAAATTCTCCTTTTCTGAACCTGCCAACATTAATTTTAGATATATTACAAAACAAACAAATGTTTTGCCAGGAAGCAGAAGTATATTATACATTTGTACTCACAAGTAGGAAAATTTAAATTCACACGACCAGAGGAAAAGCTCAAAATAAGCCCTGGCAAAGGGAGCTATAAGCCAACAAAACCATGAAAGACATTTTCTATACCTCTAAGATCTCAGCGGTTTTATTTAAATCCAGGGTGCCATCCTTAGCATCCTGGATCAAGCTGACAAATTTCTTGGTTAACAGTCCTGCACAACGCATATGATAGTAGTACATTATTAAGAGAGCCACACTAACGAAGAAACTTGCTTAACAATGCATTATGGAGGAACACATGAGTGTGGACATACCTAAGGAACTGTCATAACGACAGTTGTTAACTGCAGTCAAATTAGGGGAATCTGATAGGTTAAACACCCAACATAAATTCACGGAAACAAATAATTGTGAGATATTGATATATATAAATTAATGAAAAGCTTAACAAAATCATAGTCTAAAAGACTGTTACCGGCAGTTGGTCTTTGTGTCCCAGACTTTGCATTTTTTGAAGCTTTTGTTTTCCCATTATGCTTTCCTCTTATGCTAGGCTCGGTTCGAACTGAAGCGGGAGGAAGATTAACTGTTGTGATCATGCCAGGAGCTACTTCGATATTACTTATGTGAGACTTGAAATTATTGAGTTCATACCTTTGACTAGACTGCATAGATAATAGAACACGAATATTTAAAGTGTGAGGAAGTAAGAGCCTTACAAGAACCAACATTTGGTAGATAATTATTCAACGCACTATATTTCTAATAGTTAAACCTGAACAAACATAAGTGCCGCATGAGCGGAAAATAAAATCCAAACAGAGGCAATGAAAACGCATGAAAATGGAGGGATGCAAAAAGGTTGATTTAGAAGCATAAAAATGAAAGTTAGAAGAAACTAATCGCTTTGATCTGGAATAAGGCTAAAAGAATTAAAAGTAGGAATTATCATCCTGAAACAAGGCATGCAAAAGAATAAATTTGGATAGAGCAGAGATGATCGGATATGATAATTGGAATGAGGGGAAGATGATCGATGATGTGTGGCGATACTTACGGGGAAATTAGGAAAGAGAGAGTGGGGATGAGGATGAGGGAAATGGGAAGGGGAATGCAATAGCTGGAATTTGAATTGAGAAGGTTGATCCTCGCGCGAAGTTGACATGATGAAACAGAGAAGGTAACAGAAGAAGTAACAAGTGAGAGTGGAAGAAGAAGAAGGTGTGACAGATAAGTCATGAGATTCAGTGGCCGCCAACGCCAACGCAAAAAAAGCGCTCAGTTCAGTTCGAATGCATACGACACCCCGCCCTTTTGTTTTTCTTGGGCCTTGGGCTGCCCTTCTCTTTCTTTCTCTTCTGTTTTCCAAACTCATCTTAACCTAGTTATTAATAACTTTACTTTTACATGCTACAATTTGCCAACCCAGTGAAAATTATTAATTTTAAAAATAAAAAATAAAATCTGTCAAATTCATAAGTTTTGTTTTTAACTAATAGAAACATGAGGAAGAAAATAATTATATTAAAAAAATATAAATACATTTGTTAACAACATATCAAACATTTTATAAGTCATAACAAGAGATTGAACTAGAAATTTTCTTTAAGGGGGGCCAATATAAAAAAAAAATCATGACTTAAAAAAACACATTTAAATTTTCACACACATGACATATATAAAAATATTAATATATAATTAGTATTTTCTTAACAAAAGAAAAATATAATTATATTTAATATAAGAGAGAATGAGAGATACTAACTAACATGTACAACTAGTACTAAGTGTCTAATGAAAGATAGCAAACACAAAAGCAAGTAACAAAATAACATTAGCATCCTCATCAAAAAATAGCAAAAAAATATAACATTCATTTTCTTCCAAATAGAGATGAAATCTATAAAATATAATAGTAACGACAATGTTAATCATCTCCTTATAATCCAAATATAACATTTCAACATTATCAATGAAAACTTAACCAACATGAAAATTTTAACAACTAATTTTGGAAAAGTCAAAAAGATAAAAATTATGGTTAATATTTTAAAATATATGAAAGAAAATTAAACATAAATCTTCACTTATGAAGTTGTGTCCATCTTTGTTTCATGGAGTAAAAATCATTGATTATCATATTCGTTGTAAATTTTTCAGCAATTATTTTCTTATATAAACAAGCATGTAGTTTGTGAAAAAATCATCTTCCATCTTGTAACATATCCTTGTTTTCATAATTTTCATATATGAAAAGGCATGCTCCATGGTTGTTGACATAGTAAGAGTCAAAACAGGTCATAATAATTTGTCAACCAAGGATAAAATCTTGCTTTACTAATCTCAACTAATTTTTACATTATTCACTAATAGAGGATTAGTTCTAAAAGTTTACATCTTTTGGTAAATCAAATTCGTAATATTACTATTTATATTTTAACTGAATATTTTCTTGATCAAAAAAATCAAGAGTAGAATTTCACAAGAAAAATACAAATATCTTTAACATTAAATGACTTGAATGTATCTTTAGGATCTAAAGTTGTGCTCAATATTAAAAGCTTAGTTACTTGCTCACTAAATCTACTATTCAACTCTTTTAATTGATCATCTATGACAGTATTAAATATATCTATATAGTAATGATGTTCAACTATCATAGAATCCTTTTGGCAACAAGATCAAATTATATATAACAGAAAAAAGTTGTAACAGTCCATTTTTCATAAAATATAATATAAGTATTTTATTACTAATTTTGGTATTTTTATTTTATTAATAGGGGTTGTTAAATATTTATTTAATTATTTAATATATTTTAGAATATAATATAAAGTATTTTATTAAAGGTTTTATTTAAATGTATTATTTAAATTAATTAAAGGGAAGGGAATTTGTAACTATAATTAATTCTTTTACCTATGAGGTTAAAGGGAGATTAAGGTTTTAAAAAGAAATGTTTCTAATCAATTTTTACACTCTTATTTTTCACACACGCGTTCACGCTTCAGAGCTTGAAGAATAGAAGCAAGAAGGGAATCATCCCAGAGCCGTGTAACTGTCGTCTAGTGCTTATCCAGGTAAATTGGAAATTAGAAACCATGCTTTAGATGTGGGTTGTATGTGTAAATTGAGGAATATGGAATGTTAATTGCATATTATAGAACACTTTTACTGATTGAGTTATGTGTTTTTGGTGAATTGAGTCGTAACTTGTAATTATGCATTTTTTGTTAAGTGTGGTTTCTAATATGTCATTAGGTGCCACTAGAGGCACGTCGGGCGTCATCAAGGCTGAGAGCAAATTTTTCTCTCAAGATCTCTCACGCCAGGCATGGAATGACCCTCGTCGAGCATGGTAGCTCCAGGGGTTCCCTATGACGCTTCTATCGAGCGTGAGTTGACTCACGTTGAGCGTGAACACTCTAGAGAGCTCTTGGTGGTTTTTCTTCGGGCGTGGACTCAGTCACAGCAGGCATAATCTAGAGAAAGATCAATATGGTTCGCTAAAGGTATCACACCAGGCGTAGGCGTGGGACATGTGTCACTAGGTGTCATTCTGTATGTGATTCTTCTATTGTTCTTTTGTTTAACCCTATGTTGTGATAGGAAACAACAACACAATAACAATACAAAACAAACTCAAATAGTTAACACAGCAGAAATAAATTCCCTAACTTGCAAGAATGTATGAGGAGCAACAACCAATGAACAACAATAGTAAATCACCAAAATCACACACAAAGACACCAAGATTTTAACGTGGAAAACCTGTCAAAGCAAAGGTAAAAACTACAAGTCCTCCAAACCAAAGAAATAGTTTCACTAAGATTAACAAATAATACAAAGGAATCTCAATCTACTGCACAAAATAGTGCTAATATCTAGCCAAACAACAAAAGCAATAAAGCTTACAAATAAAGAACAAGGAAGATGAAAAACCCCAAATACACAACTATAGTGCAAATTGAATATCTCTCAACTCAAACCTCGTATCAACAATCCAACCATTCAGAATGAAGAACCAGATGTCCCAGACCTAGTGTCAAATTTTCAACCCGATCCAATGGTGAATGAATCCGCAGTATCGATTTTATAGTCGCAACTTTGTGTAAAAACGAGAATAACTTTCTCTCTTTCTCTCTCTCAAAGTGCTAGTGTTCAAAGTGACTTCTGACTTTCCCTCTTTTTCACCTCTTATGCTTCAGACCCCCTCTCAACTTAGTTAAGTGAGACATCAAGTGAACTTCTCAATTTTAGGTCTTTTCTTTACATAAAAAGGAGTCTAATACCCAACATGTTGTAACTCTTGTAATGCAATGTTGATGTGGATATGAATTGATCCTTATTGATGAATATATGAGACTATGTGATGAGTAATGAGACGTGATGAATGTGTGAAATGTGAAATGATGGAGCCATGTGAATATAATGCGTAGAGTCTGTTTGACTTGTATTATATGCATAAAAATGTTTTTGTAAGGGTACGATATGAAATACATCGCCAAGGAAGGTCTCTTGTGTAATAGTTTGGGAACCAACTTGAGGATAACTCGATTTAGAAGTCTCAATATTACCCTCATGGACATGAGATGTATCTTGCACAACTTAGCTATCTCGATTAGACTCTAGTAGTATATCCTTCTTGTGATAGTGTGTAGATGGTGTGACTCGACATATACTCTTAGACTACTCTAGTGTATTGCTAGTGACAATGCACAAGTGTGATGCTTTACTAATATCATATGCATAATAATATGCGGTCCATATCCATTGTATAATGCATTATAATGTATATGTCATTACATATTATGTTGTTGCTGAATAATTGTGTTGATAATGTCTATTATATATGTCGTATTTTGTTATATGCATTGTTTGTATTTGACTAGCTAGTTTGCATTCCTGTACCATAAGCCAGAGTGAGATATGTAACGACCCGCCCTAGGCCGTCACATCAATAACCAACCAAAATAAAATATATAAAAAATAAAGAAAATAGAGCAAAAGCCAGCTACGCTAGAGTGTAATTATACAATAACATATAAATTGTTTCCAAAATATATAGCAGAGTCATCATCTTTAGTAAAGTTATACAGTAATCCAAAAGATAATATAAACACCCTAGGTGCTGGTCAAGCTCTAAACCTAGCCACTCCTCAAAGTAGCTATCCAAAAGACTCCTTGCTAACCCAAAGCCTCACACCTGATCTGCTCCCCCACAAAGTGAGATCATCACAGTCCAAACCACATGGAAAACATGCAAGGGTTAGCACATATAAAACCAACCATAGTACATGATAAAATATCATTAAACAGATATTTATCCATAATATATATATAT